TGTGCAGACATTGTTTGTTCTCTTTGGGTTCCTTGACTGTTTACCTCAAGACAGCTGAACCCACGTCCACTCAAACCTTCACCTACAGTCATCCACAGAGACTGAGGTAAGAATGCACATTTGATTTTACTGCCTCAGGCCAAAGGTTCTTTATAAAGTTCACTGACCACGTCTGATAGTGTCCCACTTTTCTGTTCTCTTTGTGTAAGAGCAGAGACCAGTTTAGGAAGAGGTTAAACAAAGCGTACCACACTTTGTTTAACCTCCAGGCTGTCTCCAGTTTACTGTAAATACTTATGACCTAAATTCAACTTACACAGGCACATTGTCTAACAAACATTAACTAACATACAGACATCGTTGTGTGTCCTCTCTTTTTGGGCAGATACTCTTTTGATACTGACCTGCTGACCCCAGAAGATCGACTCTTCTATGAGGAAAATGGATTCCTTCTTGTCAAGAATCTGGTGTCTGAGGAGGACATTGACAGGTTCAGGTAACCATCAGAAACGGATGACTGCAAAGAATTTATTTATTTTTGTCAGGGTATAAGTGTAGAAACATCACTAAGGCAGCAACTAAGGGTTATTTGATTATTTATATATGAATCTAAGAATTTAGATTTCTCAATACTCCAATCAATCAATCAATGATTAAAATAGGGGAACAAATAGATTTAAAATTTGGAAATGAATCAGTTACAGGGCTCCAGACGAACTTTTTCACTGGTTGCACCTCCCACCTTGTCACAGGCTAAAACACATCACTTGCTTAAAGTCTGTTTATCAATAGACGCTACAATTTACAGATGTTCCCTAAACGCCCCACATTGCAGGTTCTGGTAGCTGCTGCTTGGTGGCTGCTGTGCACTCAGACAGGTGTGTGATGGAAAAATACTTTGAAAATAGTTCAACTGGGCCGTTCTAGTCTCAGATTTGTCCGAGATGAAACCGAGTATTTTTTCTGTGCGATGTGGAGCGCACCTACATGTGCTGTCCTGCTCATAGAAAACAGTGATGCAGGTGAGCTCCACATTTCAAGTGTAAATATCAAAGTCCGAAGTCCAAAGTTATAAAAGTGCTGCATTTCACCACTGTGGTGAACACAGTAGCTGCTGGTTACAGTGACACCAAAACAGCTTCATGATCATCATGCACACGCACCAATACGACCAGTTAAGAGTTCACACTCCCAAAAAAATGGTCGCAGTCTGGAGCCACGAGTTAATTTCTGCAGCTCTAGTGGTAATGGTATTTCAGAACAGGAGAAAACAAATCATATAATAGAATCTGAGTAAGTCACCGTTTATCTGGGATCAGGAGCCACAAGCTTAAACTGTTTTTATCTGACAGAATATTGTAGGAAAATAAGTGACACTGAATCAGAGGCACATCTATAATGCACTGAAAATTGTTTTTGTTTTTGTGCTTTCCTCAGGAAGGCGTTTGAACGCATCTGTCGACAGGAGGTGAAGGTTCCCGGCCTGGTGGTGATGAGAGACGTGGCCATCGCTAAGTCAGAGTTTGTTCCGGATCAGAAAGCTGTCTCTAAACTCCAGGACTTCCAGGAAGATCCTGAACTGTTTCGGTACTGCTGCTTACCAGAGGTACAACACCATTTATAGCACATCCAGTAATTACTACCTAAAGTTGCAGTGTGTGTTGCATTTTAAAACACATATTTTATTGCCAAATCGTTTCTGATACACTGGTTGAATACCACACGTAAGAAATTTGAGTTTGAAATGATTGAAACATGAGCACTGATCAACCAGAACTTGTGTTTTGCTGATGCAGATCCTGAAGTATGTGGAGTGTTTCACTGGACCGAACATCATGGCCATGCACACCATGCTGATCAACAAACCTCCTGATGCAGGTACGGTGTGAAGAAATACTATTGTTACGGGTGAATCAATCAGCTGACTGACAGGAAACAATCAGTAACTATTTTGGAAAATGAATAATAGTTGAAATAATTTCTTCAAGTGAAATTTCCAACTCCTGATTTCTCAGTTGTGAGGTTTTGTCACAAAGGTTTCGCAGTGGATTTGGATCGTGCAGTAAGGCGGCCCTGCTCGTTTATGTTCAGTGAATTAGCCATTTTATTGACAGTTCTCACCTCCCTGCGTGCAAATGTTCAACAAAACAATTCCATCCGTCACTAATAGTCTCCGATTGCCACCATTCAGCAGCACCGTTCCCCCCATTCTTTGCATTTTTGTTTTAGTAAAACAAAAAATATCAAGTAAATAAAAAAGCAGATGGTGTTTTTAAATTTGACTTTTGAGAAGATGGTGCTGCTCTGAGTGGCATCAAGTCCATGTAGCCCCAAAAGTATGTGTTTTTAAAGAGGTTCTAGTGATTTATTTACTTGCTCAAATATCCCTGCATCTATCTATCTATCTATCTATCTATCTATCTATCTATCTATCTATCTATCTATCTATCTATCTATCTATCTATCTATCTATCTATCTATCTATCNGGAACTTTCAGAAAACATTCAGGGAGCATTCAAACAACATGCCCTGGGGGTTAGCTTTGCATAATTTCACATAGAAGTGCAGCTCCGTGTTTGCTGTTGTTGTGTGTTGCATTCAGGTGATTTTATTTGCACTTTAATATACTTTGTAGGGTTTTTCTTGTAGGTCATACAGTGTGTGTGTGTGTGTGTGTGTGTGTGTGTGTGTGTGTGTGTGTGTGTGTGTGTGTCAGTGTTAGCCTTTGCCCCACTAGGCTCCAGTCAGCAGACCTACTCCTCCACTCCTCCGTGTTCACCGGGTCATACCGGACGACCTCCTGCCACAAACATGTCTCGGGCTGCGGACAGACTCCGACTGCTGATCAATCACCTCGATCGATCACCGGCTACGATCGTATCCTTTTTATTCTTGCTTATCGGTAGCGGAGCGGTCCGAGGCTCAAGCCGACAGCGGCGCACCGAGGGGCGGGTAGAGCTGGTGGTCCAGGCCGGGACCCCGCGGTGGACAGCAGGCCTCTCGGAGTAAGGGGGAGAAATACAGTAAAAAATAAGTGCTTCTAAGTGTTGTGTAGGAGATTTTGTGTTGCTCTGACGTGTAGCCGTGGCTGTTGTGTGTCTGTGTAGCAGCTAAACGGTAGCTAGCTAGGCTACATGTGTGTGTAACGGTAAGAGGAAGACACAAGCTGCGGGTTGTAGGTTTTTATCTCCACCTAGTTGGAGCAGACACGAGTTTAAATACCTAAAAATGTTCGTCTGTTTGTATTTAGGAAAGTCTGCACTGTAAAAACAAGGCTGTAAAAAACGGAAAAAACCAGCAGCAAGAGAGAAAATACGCAAAAAATCGATTGGATGCTGTATCGGTTTGTTGTTGTTGTTGTTGTTGTTGTTGTTTTTAAAGCTAAATTAAATTTAGTAAACAGTTTAATTTAATGTCACGTGTTTTAAAAGGACAGCAGTACATAGTTTTACAGTCAAAATATAAATTACTTCTTTTTTCTCTGGATAATATCTGCAACAAAACGGTAGTTCAGCAAAATACCAGTAAAAAAAACAAAACAAATAAAATTAAATTTAAAAAATTTGAAAGCCTTAGTTGATATACATAATTCCTCCTAAAAAAAAAAAAAGAGGCAAATATCTGTAAAGCTATTTGTAGCTGGTTTATATACAGTTAAAAAAAAATAAAGATTTTACAGTTACAGGTTGTAAAAGATCAAATTGGTATAAAAATACAGAGTTGTGATGTGGACATTATTTACAGTTTTAGCTTCTTTTATTACTGTAATTATTATTTATGAAATGATATTGTTTTCTGTTAGTTATTATGTGTAATAATGAAAAATTAAAATATAAAAAACAGCAGTAAAAATGTGTTTTTTTAAAATCCTTAATGTACATAGGTTTGCTTTCAAATAACAGCAAATATTTATTTAAAATATATATTTTAAGCTGATTTAAATGCAGTAAAAAATGTCCTGCAGAAATGTCAAAAAAAAAAAAATAGCAGAAATTAAGCAACAGTACTTTTACTATCTTGCAATCTGATGTTGAATGTGCAGCAACATGATCTGATATCAGTCACCAGTCAAGCTACTAAATAACATGAGTGTGTTTTAGGTCGACGTCCCGTAATGTAGACGTGTTACTGCCCTTGTTAGGGTTTGTCAAATTTGGGGAACAACTTCAAATCTTGAATTAGATCTGACATCTTGAAGTGGTACATGTTATTCAGCATCCGTGTGCAGACATTGTTTGTTCTCTTTGGGTTCCTCCTTGACTGTTTACCTCTAGACAGCTGAACCCACGTCCACTCAAACCTTCACCTACAGTCATCCACAGAGACTGAGGTAAGAATGCACATTTGATTTTACTGCCTCAGGCCAAAGGTTCTTTATAAAGTTCACTGACCACGTCTGATAGTGTCCCACTTTTCTGTTCTCTTTGTGTAAGAGCAGAGACCAGTTTAGGAAGAGGTTAAACAAAGCGTACCACACTTTGTTTAACCTCCAGGCTGTCTCCAGTTTACTGTAAATACTTATGACCTAAATTCAACTTACACAGGCACATTGTCTAACAAACATTAACTAACATACAGACATCGTTGTGTGTCCTCTCTTTTTGGGCAGATACTCTTTTGATACTGACCTGCTGACCCCAGAAGATCGACTCTTCTATGAGGAAAATGGATTCCTTCTTGTCAAGAATCTGGTGTCTGAGGAGGACATTGACAGGTTCAGGTAACCATCAGAAACGGATGACTGCAAAGAATTTATTTATTTTTGTCAGGGTATAAGTGTAGAAACATCACTAAGGCAGCAACTAAGGGTTATTTGATTATTTATATATGAATCTAAGAATTTAGATTTCTCAATACTCCAATCAATCAATCAATGATTAAAATAGGGGAACAAATAGATTTAAAATTTGGAAATGAATCAGTTACAGGGCTCCAGACGAACTTTTTCACTGGTTGCACCTCCCACCTTGTCACAGGCTAAAACACATCACTTGCTTAAAGTCTGTTTATCAATAGACGCTACAATTTACAGATGTTCCCTAAACGCCCCACATTGCAGGTTCTGGTAGCTGCTGCTTGGTGGCTGCTGTGCACTCAGACAGGTGTGTGATGGAAAAATACTTTGAAAATAGTTCAACTGGGCCGTTCTAGTCTCAGATTTGTCCGAGATGAAACCGAGTATTTTTTCTGTGCGATGTGGAGCGCACCTACATGTGCTGTCCTGCTCATAGAAAACAGTGATGCAGGTGAGCTCCACATTTCAAGTGTAAATATCAAAGTCCGAAGTCCAAAGTTATAAAAGTGCTGCATTTCACCACTGTGGTGAACACAGTAGCTGCTGGTTACAGTGACACCAAAACAGCNCATAAACAGCTAGAGGACCACAACCAAGAGCTCAAGGCAGCCTCCAGACTCCCCCAATCACAATCTGATCAAGCATCCACAAGATGCACCCAAACAAGCCAGACCTACAGAAGCCACATATCCTGTGAGTTGTGGGGTAGTTTGTGCAGCATTCTGCTCCCACCCTCTGTAGGCATAGTCAGTGAACCAGCCTGTTTTTCTTTCTTTAATAAACACATTGCAGTTTTTATGGCGGAGGCATGGCTGCAAATACAAGAGCTTTTGCCAACATTTAGCCATGGACTGCCCACGAAGCAGATGCACAAAGCAAAGTATGGCGTTATTTCACTTTCAGTCGACACTGAGGGGGAGCCTACTGACACCACAAGGCCTGTCTGTAAAATATTTTTTTTCCCACACAGACCGAGGAAGCCAACACATCCAAGTTGGCAAAGCATCTCCCTGACAGACACGTTGACTTGTACTAAAAATCCAAAGAGTGACAGCTTAGGGAAAGCGATAGATAACAGAATAGAATAGAATAGAGTAGAATAGAATAGAATAGAATAGAATAGAGTAGAATAGAATGCTTTTATTGTCATCATACACAAGGTACAACGACATTAAAAGACAACTCCAGTGGTGCAAACATATAAAAATAAAAGTATAAAAAGACAAATAAGAATATATAAATATATTTACACAAGTACCCAGTTGGAAGTATATACAGTTTATTCTACCAGACAGTAGAATAAATACATTGCACTGTTGAGGTAGGAACACTGTGGACATATGAGAAATATAAATAATATAAATAAGCTCACCATGCACATGTTTCTACATGTCACAGGAGTTTGGGTTTTCTTCTTAATGTAATTTAGGACTATGATAACTTCAATTATTCATC